GTATTTTTACATATTGTTAATACCAATAGCATAGTGCCTAAGGCACTTGACTGTTAACCAGAAGGCTGGCGGTTCAAACCCACCAGCCACTCCTTGGAAGAAAGATGGGGCAATCTACTTGCGTAGTGATACTGCCTCAGAAACCCAAGCAGGGATCACTACGAGTCGGGGATGACTCGAAGGCACATAACAACAATGATACCAATAAAGCATCTCATTTATTTTTATGAAAACACAGAAAAGGTGATACTTCTGGAAATTCTTCTTATGTGTTCTTTTTGCACATTATGCCAATTATTGATATACCATTATATTGATATAATACAATAATTATATCAATTATTTGTTTGATTACTTCCTCTCTCATCCATACCTAGGAATATAATTTCTTGTTGTTACTTAATTATTGTATATAGAATGGATGTTAGTTACAGTTCTTTTTGCCCCTATAGCAACATGCTTTTGTTCTCATGAATGAAATCAAAGATACTAAAAATAAATATATCCCTTTCCTCCTATGTTTGAGTTTTGTGTTAGTCCCTGAAGAGACAATCAATATTCAGCAGATATGGTCTTGTCCAGGGGTAAGGCACCAATTTATAGGGAGACAGTTACTTTGACTTCTGTAAACTGGAAAGTACACATCAGAATACATTTATTACAAGATCAAGGTTCAAAGTGCTCAAAAGTGAAGTTAAGGTAGGGCTTTTTGTGGGGGATTATGAACTCATTTCCTTAGGGCTGAGTGAGAGAAAATATGTAAAGAATTGAGGTAATAAGCAACAAAAGATGAGTCTAAGGATGAAGAGCAAGCTTTAAAGCAGGAGAGGACGGCGGAGGGTGATGAGGTGTGCTAAGCTAACAGTCAGCTGGGGGCATGCAGGGATACGCACTTGCTCTGTGCCTGGACTTTTGGAAAGTCGCAGAAGAGACTGCAGAGAAGGGTGCAATCGAATTACTCAGCCTGCTGTCCTCCGCAGGCCTAAGGCCTGGGAATTGATCAGAGAGATCATGGAAATCAGAGCACAGACATTCCCAAGAGAGGAGTGAAAGGACAAGCTTCAAAAGGGTCTAATTTCTGGTAGTGCCCCTAATACTGTTCCCTCCTACATGGGATTAGATAAGGACTCTCATGGCTGCTGCAATTTAGTAGGAGTCTTAACTTTCATGAAGAGGGAAGATAGGGGCTTCATTGTCACAAGTCTCTGTAGGTCAAGGCACTCCAAGTGCCTCTGAGGCCTTGTTGCCCATTATGCCTGCTTTGCTTCTGAGAGCTAACCAAACCAAACCAAACTCACTGCTGTCAAATTAACTGCGACTCATAGCAGCCCCTCCTTGGGTTTCCGAGGCAGTATCACTACAGAAGTAGATTGCCCAACCTTCCTTCTGAGGAGTGGCTGGTGGGTTTGAACTGCCAGCCTTCTGGTTAGCCATCAAATGCCTTAGGAACTATGCCACCAGAGGTCCTTAAGGTTACCTATAAGAGATGAGAATTTTAACTGGTTTCATATACCATTCTGAATTAATTGATTTTTTTTAACACAACATTTATATACTACTTCCATAATCAAAATAATGTAATCTATAAGCAGAATAAAAGCAAAGAAAGAAAGTTGAATGTAAATCTATCAAGCTCAGTTGATGTGTATTTTACATTGAACATTAAATGGCTTGTTGGCAGTTGTAGTCAGCCAAAGGAACATGTATTTTTCACAGCAAATATGATTCACATGCTACTGCAAATAGTCCTACATGCCATACATATTCCTTTAGATAAAAATCACTATCCTATGCTCTAAAATAGGAATTCTATCACAGCAACTTGATAAATTGAACTACAAATTTTGTCTTATTTATGAAGAAGGGCCTGCTAAGATATTTGTTAAAATAAATTGCACACATTGATTTTAACTCTATTTTGGCTACAGGGGGTGTAATATTTCTTGAAAGAGGCACAGAAATTTCTCAGGAAAGAGTATTAGGTTGGAATTAAGAGCCTCTGGGTACAGAAAGACACAAATAAGTACATACATAATTTGAGAATAGAGAAAAGACAACTGGATAGGTTCCCGAGGACCAGTGTTAAGAGAAAAAGACAATGGGAAGTAGTCATAATGACTTGTCCATGTGGGACTATGGGCAATTTAGAAGAGTTTAAACCCAAGGGCACTGTGTGCCTGGACTAAAAGTGACCCCTGAGAACTCTCGAAGATAATTAATTTTGTAGCTCAATCTTCTTCTCTGTAAGTTTTCTCCAGTCACTGATTTCTTCTCTGCTTAAAAAGACTTGGTTGGAGGCTGATGACTGATTTTGTCATATGTGAGGTGAGACTGTAGGAACAGGGACAAGAAGACCTAGGTATTAGAACTCTTCACAGGCCCATGGTGATGGAACTCATTTAGAAGTTTGGGAATATCAGGACTTTTGTTTGGAGGCTTATAAAAAAGATTGTAGAGAACACCAATAACCAAAATTTAGGCTGATAGGGCAGAAATACTTGGTAGGTTCTCAGATAGCTTTGTAAGTATCATTTGGATTTGGGCCCTGCCTCCTTAAAGGAAAGTTTTGCTTTGGCCACTGGTCTTATTTGCTCTCTCAGCTGGTCTTTCTTCCCTCCCACTCTGATGTTTGCCTTTCCTTCTGTGCTATGTTGTAGGTATATATTGATGAAAGGACATGTCAAGAAAATCAAGAAAGTAAAAATTTGTCAGATAGATTTGTTTGATAGATAAGAAGGTAGCTCCTGACCAATAAGATAGGTTCTCTAATCTGGATCAGGCAGGCAAAGCACTGCTATGCTTGACAGTCTGAGGAGTTCCAGGTGAGGAGAGCGAGATTGCTCAGAAGCACAAGGCAGGAGGTTCTGGGCAGGCTCAGGAAAACTTCTTTGGGAGGGAAGTATGGGACAGGGGCTATTTGGATAAATGGGAACCTGCCCAACTGGTTTTCAAAGACCATTCCTCAACTCTTCCAACTTTCCTCTACGGCTCCAACCAAAACACATTTTCTTGGCTATTTCCTTTCTCACAGTCTCCACCAGTTTCTGAAAAGGTGTTCACCACCCAGCTTTCTGATCATATTTGTTCTCTGACTTCCTCCTTCTTGTCTTCTTAGTCTTTTTTTTTTTTTTTCCTAATCATCAGGTAGATGGGGCACAGACTATACACTTGTTTTTTTCGGTGCCACCAATTTTCCATTTCCTTTCAGAGGATGGCTTTCCACAGAACATTTGTGTGACCACACAATGTACAGGAGGCAACTACCCATTGCAGGAAATATCTACAATACACGGTCTATGTCTCTTCCAATGCCAACTTCCTCAGACTCGCTTCTCAGGAAAGAAGAGTCAGTTCAGTTGAGCCACCCTCAGTTCTGTAGACATACCACCTTGGAAACCCAAGGAGGGGTCCCTATGTGTTGGAACTGACTTGGTGGCAGAAGCGAGAAGCGAGAGCGAGAAGTGAGAAGCGAAAGCCAGAAGCGAGAGCAACACACACACACAGAGTTAATAATTGTTTATCTTTGTTTTGCTTTTTTTTTTTAATGTGCTTTACTTTCCACCAGGAATATAAATTAAGTTTCAAAACAGCCTAGCCTAGCCTACTGCTGTCGAGTCAGATCCGACTCATA